GCTCTTGCACTGAGTGCTGAGAGTCCACTTTGTTAAACATTCTTTTAAAAATGAAAGTTTATTGATTTATTACACTTACATATTATGCTTTTATAATTATTAGTTGTAAAACGGTCACCAGGCAATATTATCGTTTATCGCAATAAATTTTGAGACAATTAATCACCCAGCAAAATTTGTTATCGTGACAGGCCTACCTGTTCGTATCCAGCTGCTCGTGCACGCGAGAGGAGATTAGCATAATTACCACCCGAAAAACACCATATAAGGCCATGTTTCCTGCCTCAGATATCAGGAAGTGTCCATTCAGGAAAATGACAGCAAAAACTAAAAATAAGAACTTTACGAGTTCAGAGACTGAAGTCCGTCTGTCAGAGATCCAGAAAAGAAAATCTGTCATTTTTAGCAGGTCAGCTGTGGAATAAAAAGCGCTGCTAAATGTATAAACAACTGTGTTAAATCATTTTCATTTATTCAGACGCCAAAGCGCTGCGCAACGTACCCCCCACCCCCGTATCTGAAATCTTAAGATTCTAAGATTTTTTGTATCTGAAAAAAATCTTAGAATACGAAAACATTGGTGAATGCCACAAATTCTCCTAAATCACTCATACGCACAAGTTAAGAACAAATCTGTGTGTATGAACAGTTCTTGCATCTTTTTTTACATTGAAATGTACTACATGTACAACTGACTAAATGTGAAGTAAATATTACAGAAATACTATTAAAAGTAAAAGTGAGAAAGTTTTACACACTGTTGAGTTGTAATGAGTTGCTGCCATCTTGAATTCTGAACTCTTCCACTTTATGACAAAGAATTCCAGTTTAAATTTAGGACCAGTACAACTGGGCCTCAACGAAAATGCTTTAAAATTGAGATTTTACATGACTAATTGCTACTTCTGAACCCTGTGCAGCTCCACCTAGTGGTGGGATGCTGTCATTTTACAGGTAAAATAATCAACATGCTTTATGAGAGATGTAGTTTATGATCAATGCTGGCTTTAAATCAGCATACACTTATTTAAAAGACATTAATACATCTTTGAAGCAGCCCACTTAAAATGCTGTGGTGGTCCACATTTGACCATGAGTTTGACACACGTGTTGTAGAACCTCAGGGGTTCTACAGGAGGTTCTACGAGGAGCAATGTGGCTTTTAGAACAGTGGAGCAGATTGGATTCTGGTAGCTTGCCTGTTCAGTCCACACGTTTTGTAGATCTAGAGAAGGCCGACAGCTGTTCCTCCACTGGGTGCAGAAGTTTAGGGTGTTGTGTCCAATGAGGTATATTTACTAGAGAGGCTACCCCCGTCAAGAGGCTGGGGCCATATGCTAAGCGCAACGCCATCTTGAAACAGTCTACTTAAAGGAATGGGGCTATTCAAATTATGTAAACTTACTAGTACTACATAATAACTCAGTACTTACTGAGTACTTACTAGATTTACAGGTTTTTCTTTTTAGAGTAGCTCCGATTTACATGTACTCTATTAAATATTTACACACGCAGATAGTTGAAAGAAAAAGTTTATTTTACCATATTATTTTAACTAAAAAAAAATTTTTTATTAACAATGTAGTCAAAACAAGTAAAAGAAAATAAACTAAAATTACATTGTCAAAACACAATACAAAAAACCAAGGCTTAAATCATCATTTTGAAAACATCATTTAGAAATATACAATAAACTAAAAAATAATAAATAAAAATAAAGAAACAAAATTGTGTTCAATAATAAGATTGACAATCATTTGTAAAATAAATGCAAGTCCATAGTTATTCTGTACTTTACTGTATTTTTTAGTATTTTTATCTGTATTGTTTAATTATTGGCCTTTGAAGAGAATGAGCTTAGTCAGTTTCTGAGGAACAGACTCTTTTTAAGCTGTGAGGTGTGTAATCTGGCAACACGTTTCTGCCTGATGGTGTAGTAACTGTTCACCAGGGGTTGGATGAAGTCAAAGTAATGGTTGTCCATGCCATATTGAGACTCCATTGTGCCATGGAAAACCTATAGGCACAATGGATTGATATCCCCACATTCATTTTTTACGTAGACCACTCTGTGTCGGGAGCAGACATTTGTTGCATTGAAAATGTTCATGAAAAGCTTGATGCCTTTTTCTGCTGCAGTTAAAAGGTGCGAGGATGTAACAAGCCCACCTTTATTTTTCATTTGAAGCAACTGATACAAATCATCAAATTGAGGTTGGACAGCATTAGAGACCAAAGATGGTTTACACACATCACAACACACCTGTTACAATCTGACGCACCACAAAACCTGCAATGTTGTTCATAGCAAACGGAGCAAATTTTGGTAAGATCCATGTGTTGTACATGTGGTCGATGTTATCCATAAAAGTTGACTCAGCCGCTTCATGTGGCATGACATCATTGACCCGGAGACACTGTGTGCTGTCCATGGAGACAACATTTCCAGCTGAAGATGGTGATACCCACTGTGTACAATCTTATGGAAGATTGCCATGAACTGACGACAGCTTAGGTTGTTGTTAAATCCACCTGCATACACATATTAAATATCACTAGGTCTGTTAACAACAATGTTTCACAAATCATAGCCCAAAAGTACACTTGAAATTTAAAGCAAATTATAACTTACCTGCTTTGCGCACTGCACTGAAGAACAGCTCCAATTGATCTTGGCTCACCTTGTAAGTTGACAAGAAACATTGGTTGGCTAGAACTTCTGGTACCAATCTGAACAAACTCTCTATGTTGGCAATGAAGCCAAACACACTCAAGTACCTGTAAACATAAATCATTATTTATCAGTTCAGCTTGTTCTTTTGAAATTCACAGTGCACAAAAATAGCAGTGACCTGAAAGCATGTCTGTAAAATAGTTTCTTCAATTTATTGTTATTTACATTTTGTTGGAATGTGGACATGATCAGTGTGTGGTTAATACTGGAATAAATTTAGATAGATAAAAATATTACTTCATGTGAAAATAGTAAGTAATCCACAAAGCAAATGTCAGGGTATTTTTCTTCCTTTTTTTCTTTTGCTTAATAAATTTAGATAAATAACAATGTGTCTGTTGTGCAAATATCACATACTTACTGTTACAAAACTTTAGCAGGCAATCAGGAGTTCAAATCAACACTTCTGTTTTTATTTTAATGGCACACCTTGACTCAACAGAAATACAAAAACACAAACAAAAAGTTTAATTTCACCCTCCAGCAGTGGGAGATTTCTTGTAGTTCAGTTGATTTTGATCCATTTATGTTAGTACTAATTCTGAACAGAAACACAATGCCAAACATAGCCTTCTTATTTAAAAAAAACTCACAGATGAAATGTTATGAGGTCGGAACATTTTCCACTACGATGGCTGCAAGCGAACGCTGCACAGTGACACGGCATTGCGGGTCTGTGTTCAATGGTTGAATGACTGTGTCAAGATGGAGTCACGTTTAGCATACCCAAAGTCATGTGATAGCCCCTCTAGTAAATATACCTCATTGGTTGTGTCACTTTTAAAGGCTTCCTGGTATCTGTACAACCAAAGTGTGAGCTGAGTCTGCATCCTGCACAGAAAGTCACCCTCGTTCTCAGTGCTTGTTTGACTCTACCATCGGTGTCTCCGATCCTGTTTGTGGTGTTCGTGAACAGGGTCGTACGGTGTAGAGGCAAAGAGTGGGTTGTGGAGTAGAGCCACTGCACCTCTACAAGAAGTCAGCTGAGGTGTTTCAGGCCTCCTGGAAGCCTCCTCGTGGAGGTTTTCTGTGTATATCTCAGCGGGGGAATACCATGGGCTGACCCAGGACACACTGAAGGGATTATATATCCTGGGAACTCCCAGGAGGAGCTGTAGTGTCACTAGGGGAGAGGTTTGCTGGATCACCCTCCTAGACCTGCTGCCTCTGACATCTGACTACAAAAAAGAGTTGATGAGTTTTCCAAGTGTTGAAGCATTTGTTATTAATCTGTGAGTAAACAGCTTCTTCAGCATCTTCAGCGTCATTAAAAACTCTTGTTCCATATTTTTACTCATTGATAGAGCCTGTTGCTATATTGTGTTTTTGATGGTAGCTGTCTTTGAGTGGATTCTAACAAAAAATGTGCAAAGTACATTTGGTTTGGTGCACGTAGCTGTATTCAGGTTGTCAACAGAGGTGATTTTGGGAAGCAGAGCAGTGATTGTCACAGATCTGCATCATGAATCATCCTGTCAGTGTGCGTCTCCAGGTTTGTTCAGCCTGTGAATGAAAAGGATGTGGACTAACTCTAATGGCTTAGCCCACGCCAGTCCCACTGTGTATGAGAACCCAAGCAGATTCACAGACACAAATAAAAAAATGAAAACACTTTCTCTGTCTGCCTCCTCCACCTCCTGTCTCTTTCATTTTCTGATTTTTTTTATTTTTATTTTTCCCAGTCATTTGATCTCTTTTCATCCTACCTTTCTCTGCCTACACTGTCTTTGACTGGACTAGCTGTACATCCCCTTCCCACCCACTCACAGGCTTTTCTCTTCTTCTCTGAACGTAAGGTGCAGCACCTCCCCAGGAGCAGAGTGAAGCACCTCACACCCCTGTTGATGATGCAGTAAGGGAGGCAGAAGAGGAGGAAGAAGAAGAGGAAGAGGAGCCTACGCCAGTTGCTGAGAAAGATGCTCCCATTCCTCCCATCTCAGAAGAAGGTAACGGAGATTTAGCACAAGCAGAGGGGGAGGAGGAGGACGGGGCATCAAAAGGGACAGAAGAAAATGTGAAGGAGGAGGAGGAGACAGAAAAAAAGGTTGTGGAGGTAGAAGAAGAACAAGGAGAGGAAGAAGAGGAAGAGGAGGAAGAGGAGGAGGGGGAGGGTGATAAAGAGATTGAGACAGAAAAGCCAACAAGTGAGGAGAAAGGCGAGGAAGAGGCAGCGGTGGTAGCAGAGGACTTAAAGGAGCAGGAGGAAGAGGAGTATGATGGGGAGGATGAGGATGACGACACGACGACGGCTGACCTCCTCACAGACAGCACCTCCCCAATCAAACCCAGCAACAAAAAGACTAATTCAGCTAAAACCAACGGTCACGTTTTGTTGGGCTCCGAGGAGCAGCGAGCGAACCCCGGCACCCCTCCGCCTCCTTCGCCCACCCCAGAGCCTCTGCTCTGCCCCCTGGTGGAGTCTGAGCTCAGCTACACCGACAGAGACGTGTCCCTCAGCTCCGGCTATGAGATGTACAACGGTGACCTGGCAGAGCCGGGCCTAACAAATGGCTCCAGCGAGCAGCATCACGGCACCGTGCCCCTCTTCCCCGACCTGCCCCTGGATCCTGAGCCGGAAAACCCCGTTTGTGTTGGGGCGGCGGACATCGGAACAGAGCCATCATCAAACAGCCCCACTGCAGACCGCAGTCGCACCGTGTCATCCTCAAGCACAGGAGACACACCTAAAGGTGAAATGTAGCATGTTTACAGTTTACACACATGAGATTCAGTGTTTTTTATTTAAATTGAAACTTTGTTGCCACCAGAGCCTTTGTGCTTGTTTTGTGCTCAGCATCAAGACTTTAGTGGAACAATTTTTGCCATGCTAGTTGCAGGGAGATGGCACTGGCTGCTGATCAAGACAAGCCAATCTAAAATTAAACAATGTGTTCAGTGTGGCGTTTTAGCCAGCTGGAAATCACGCACTGCCTCGAGGTAAACAGCACAAAGAGTTGTTGGAGAATTGGAACAGTGATAGGTAGGAGATCTGGACTCAGTAGTATCTCACTGTTGGTGGCTAACTGGTAAACAGCATTCACACAGGGTCTCCAAAATGTCTGCAAAGGTTCTCAGTTTCTTTGTGCCATTCGTAGACCCTTACAATCTTATCGCTTCATTCTTATGTTCAAAAAATTGACAAACTTTTCCTCAAACCCACCTCAACGTACTTTCCTTAAATTCTAATGAGCTATGACTGAAATCATTTAATGCATCTTTGAACAACCAGGTCTAAAAACTATGTAGATGATAAACAATAAGAATTTAAAGATTTCTTCATTATTTTTATTTCAGAAATTTATTCATTTTAAAAACAAAATAAATTCTATATCCTATTAAAAAATACAAATCAAATAAAATGAAAAACTAAACACAAACATCAACTCCTTAAATACAAACCGTATTGAGTACATATTATTTCATATTTCTTTAACAAACCAACTTTTATCATTCTCTTAAATGTGAACTTTGATCTGGCATTTTTAACATCACTCTCCTGATAAATTGGTTCTAAATTTAGGTTTCACAAACATCTCTATCCTCCTGACATTGTAACAACTTTCTCTCTTAACAAAACTGTATTGACTGTTTAAAGGTAATATGTTTTTGTGAGCCATTTACCTAACCGATAAAATACTGTAATCAACCAAATAAATAATTTCAAATTAAATGTGGAACAATTATATAACTTATACATGAGCTTTATCACTGAAAAACTCCCTAACTTTGTATAGTACTTCAATGCATTTCTTTTTTTATTCTTAAATAATTTATGTGAGTTTCCGTGTCAGCTTTTCAACAATGATAACACCCAAAAACTTCACCTCGCAGACTACAAATCTCAACCCCATCAACTCATTCATTCATTTTAAACATGACTTAGTGGGGCTGGCTGCTAACGGTAGGTCTGATGAAGGCAGAGATGGGCAATCAAATAATGTGCATGGCCTAGAACTAGCTTTGTGAGCTGGCCACATCACTAACTGTTTGTTTGTCACAAACACTCAATATTCAGTGACATTTCAAATTCACTTCATTTTCTAAATTCAAACGTTGAGTCTTGAATTAGTCACAGCCTGGAGAGATTTCCTTCAAAACGTTTCTTTAACTCCGCAGTTCCTGTCTTCACCTTCATTATGTAACTTCATGTGAAACTGAACTGTGTTGCTGCTTCTTTGGTTTGTCCTTGATGTTTAGATTCAACATGTTTAATTGTTTCAGTGATGCCTCAGTCATTATAAATCTGGTCCCTAGTTGAGCTCACTCATTTACAGCGGAGTTGACTCGCTGTTTATTTACTGAGTTCATGTTTTTATTTCTGGACTCTTACTATTCTTACATCAGTTTTGTTTCTTCTTACAGTTTGTGTACTTATAGTTTGTTTAGTTTTGGTTCATAAGTGTACAGTGTTATCGCTGTTCCAGAGTTATTGGCATCATCTAATGTCTCATTAGATCAGACTTACATGCTTTGAGTTTTAAATGTTTCTAGTTTACTTCTCCTTGTGGAGCTCTGATCTCATCAGGTTGGATTTTTATTTTCTCCTCATGACTTTTGATATTTGCTGCAGTTTATTTGTCTCATACTAACACCACAGTCCTCACTCTGTCTGTTCTGTTGGAGCTGGAGTTTGCTCCAAACTCTGAACTTGACTTTTACTCCCAACAGACTAATGTTTGCTTTAACTCCCACAGCCTGATGGGCAACTGCAGAGTTATTAGTGTTGTAATGTTTTCTTTTGCTACAAACAGGGTTGGGATTTTACTGTGACTAAATTATAATAAACAATAATGTACAGTTACTCAGTAAACCAATAAGTGTAACAACTGGTTACTTGAATACACAATATTTTTATATTGCAACATCATGAATTAAAGTAGTACTGTGGTGAAATCATTTTGGAAATACATTATTTCACTTAAAGCATTTATTTTAAATTTATGGTTCATATTTGTTCTGCAAAACATAGTTTTTTTCTTGCTATAAAGACCTTGTTAAGGGACTGAGGGAAAAAATGAATTATTCTATCCAATTAAAGGCTCTAAAACTGCTAATAAAAATATACATTTACACAAAAAATATGTTTTTATCATTACTGACCTTGAACGTTTTAATCTGCATGTTAATGAGAACCAGGATTTAATTTAGATTTTATTCAAGATCAGCAAATATGAAATAAAACAATCAAAAAGAAAAGAATTATATAGGTCTTCTGGACGGGTTCTTCTCTAATGAAACGTTTCGTCTCTTCTCCAAGAGACTTCTTCAGTCTGAGAGTTTCAGGCAAAATTCAGGCTTTTAAGCCCAGCCTCCGTGTGACTGATACTCACATCACATGGCTTTCATTGACACCTAATTAACACTTATTGTTAACAGGGGGTGGAGTGATACTGGCAATGGCCGCGCTGTAGGAGGGGGACAACTGAAAACGGAGGCCTCCACCTCTGTTTAATGATGGACGGTCTTTCTTCACAAAAATGMCTTCTTTTACTCCTCTCTCAAACCAACGTTCCTCTCTATCAAGAATGAGAACATCCTCATCTCTGAAAGAGTGACCGCTGGCCTGTAAATGAGTGAAAACTGCAGAGTTCTGGCCATTAGATGTAGCTCGTCTGTGTTGGGACATTCTTTTGAACAGTGGTTGCTTTGTTTCCCCGATGTACTGTATAACTGGTCGCAGTCCTCCTGGCACTTAACAGCATATACAGCATTGCTCTGTTTGTGCCGGGGCACCGGATCTTTGGGAAATAAAACAATGTTTGCCTTTTCTCCTCTGAAGAGCTCTGCTGGATGATTTATTTCAGTTATGTTTCATCTGCAGCAGTTAAATATCAGTAGTTTAAAAAGCAGAAGTAGTTGATCTTGGATTATGTGTCTGTAAGTTTGTAACCTTCATGTATGAACTCACTTTGAATCTCATGTTGTGTCCACACAGTCAGGGCCCGAGCTGCAGACCTGCTGATCAACCCACTGGACCCCCGCAACGCCGAATCCATCCGAGTCAAAATCGCTGACCTGGGAAACGCCTGCTGGGTGGTAAGAACCAGAGTTTGGAACTGAATACAACTCATCAAACACATGGATTAGGATTAGGAGCGTCAGGAAGTAGTACTTCAGGTTTAAATGTCAATGTCTGACTGCAGGCATTTAAATTCTGCATCTCCATTCCCACTGAACAGAAGAGGATAAATACTTGGATGCTAAAAAACCCAAACATGTTATTTATTTAATGGCAGAAATAAAATTGTGTTTGATTTTAATTTGTACAGAATCCTAGCCCATCTGTAAAAACTTATTTTTTATGTGAACCTTCTAATTATTGTTTCTAAGGTGCTGCTGTCTTTTACTGAGTGAACCGTCAGAGCATAGTGGAGTGTAATCCACCTTCTGTGAGCGTGAAAAGTCCATTTGAAATAAACAGTCCCTCAGTGTGTGTTATGTTCTACAAATGATCCTAATCACTTCACCATCCTCCTGAGTTACTTCTCATCACTCCTGGAGATTAAATAAAATCATTTTACCACTAAGAACTGTTCAAGGGCCCAATAAGAGTAATATTGATTTAGTCTCATCGGTTTTTATCTATATTTATTTTTTTTACCATAACTGTTTCAGTTTAATGTAAAGCTTTAATGAAAGCAGTACCACTGGTGTACTGTAGTACTACGTACTAAGAAAAGTAACCATAACAATTTAGTCGTGGTGGTCTGAAAAATGTTATTTCCTATTTAAATAATTCTAAATAGTTGTGAGATTTGTCCTGATGCATCTCAGTAATCCAGGTAAAAAATCAAAAAGAAAAAAATTGTATAGGTCTTCTGGACGGGTTCTTCTCTAATGAAA